AACTCAAGCTAGTTCCTTATTTAGTTCACTCTAAAAAAGTCAAACCAGTTTGGTAACAAGGCAATAATCATGTCAACTTGAAACTTACCACCCAAGTCAACCCTATTGATCTCCAGTTAAATTTTTAAATAATAAACAATCATTTTGAAAATACGATCTCATACTAGAGTTCCTTAGGCTATCTTGACGGTGTTCAAGTCCGACGTAGTACTTAGGCATACGCTCTATCTAATCTCACTAAAATATCTTATTTGGTATCTTAAAGTAAATGAATTAGGTATAGAAGTAATTAATACATTTTGTACCTTCACATTGTGAATAAAATATCTAAGTTCCTTTTCCAGTTAATATAAATGAGGTCCAAATACATTGAAAATGTTAGCAAGCAGATAAAATGGATTAGATATAATTAATCTGAATATAAATGCATTCATACAATATGCAAAGTGAATTATTAATACTATCATGCATATTTAAAATTAAAATTGTTAACCACATAATATAATAAATCTCAATAGAATAAGATTTCATTATCACTATTGGTGAACATTCCCTTTTAATTAATGTGAGTTTCTCAACTCTGTAGCATAATAAATCACACAATCAATACATCAATAACTTATCCTGATGGAGGAGTTCATTATTACTATTGTTGGGATTTATTTACTATTAGGTGAGCACTTCCATTAAAAAAATAATATGTGAGTCCCTTAACCACAGCATAAAAAATTGGATAACCAATATGCCAATAACTTATTCGGTTGGCGAAATTCAATATTGCTATTGGCGGGCAAATCCCATCATTTCCATATTTCTTAAGACAATGCTTTGTCTATATATATGAAATGATTCCTAATTAAGTTTAGCCTTTCTAAAATCACCTAGTGTAGACCACTCCGTTGGGGAGCTAACACTATTATTTTAGATTGAGTGTATAATGTTATTTATGCTCCAACGAAAAAAATATATATTAAATATTTTGTCATTATAATCTAGACTCTTTAAATCATGCGTAAGGCCTTATTTTTAAAGATCTAATTACAATGAACATTTAATATTTTTATTTTCATGAGACAACCATTCTTGTAATATTAAGACTCTTCAAATCATGTGTGGGGCCTTAATTTTGAAGATCTAATTAGAATGGTTATAATAACAAAGGCCATATGGTAATATATAAAAATCTCCACTTCCACTCAATTTTTAAACATTCGTAATTAGGGTTTTTCATTTATTCATATCCATGATATAATGCATCCAAAATGCATTGATTTTAATCCAATTAAATTTAGAAAATAATTGGACTTTTAAATGATTCACTAATATTTAATTTGAGGTACACTTTAAAAATAATTTACAAAAATAATTTTTCGTTTTCCAATAAGTGCCCTCTAATTAAGTAATAATCAAATCCAATTAATTTTCATAATTCAATTAATATAAATCAAGTCATTTAAATAAAAATCATGGATCCAATGCATGAACAATAATAATTAGCAATTACTTATTCCATGCATCACATAAATAAATGAACAACAGACAAAAGCAAATTAAATGGCCAATGGAATCAGCTTTTAACATTTAAATACTATTCTTGCTGTATGGGTGTCCACCAATGGCTTGTGAACACCTGTAGGGAGCTGGTACGCGCTAAAAGAAGCAAAACGATACTTGGAACGCGCCCGGAAGACCCCACACGCGTTGGCATGCGCCTGGAGGAGCTGCAGCTCATCCCCACGCGCTTGCATGCACTGGGGATAGGTTTAGGCGCGTGGCACGTGCCTTCACGCACTGTACATGCTTGCCTGGGGAACACGCGCCAGCAAGCTTTTTCTCCCTGGCACGCGCCAGATGTGTCCTATATGTGATGCACTGGATTGCAGCCTCCTCCAGCACCTTTTCTCTCCGCCGGCAATGCTTCGACCACCGGAAAAACGCCGAAAAATCCAAAAAATTTAATAAAAATCCTTAAATTTTTTTGAAAAATTCTAGAAAAAATCCAAAAAATTCCAGGGACCTTATTAAATATTGTTAGACTTTCTTAAAGTTTCATAGTACCCATTGATGAAGATTACATGGCTTTAAAAGATATTTACAATTTGAAATACAATGGAAAAAAATTAAATTACATCATTGCAAATTTTCAAACGGCTAAATTAAAGCCTTAATTAAATTCATCCAAAGATAAAATTACATTCAATATACCTATAAACTTTATCCATACCCCAAACACACATCAACATCATCCAATCACAAATATACATATATCATGATCATATAATAATATATACATATGCATATATAAATTTGGATCCATGAATGATGATTTTCATAAAATCATGATCTCTAGTAATGAATCAAACCATGCTCTGATACCACTGTTGGGAAACGTACAAATTTTAAAAACTTTTCGAGAAATTTTGATTCATAGATCTTGATTCATCACATAAAAACAAGTTTTATGCAAAAATAAAATATGATGTATCATTCAATTAATATATTGAATACTTACATCAAAGGTTTGAGTAAATCTTAGATCTCTCCTCTAAAGTGAATGTTCTCACTTATTGTAGATCTTTTTGCTAGATGCTATCTCCTTGGATCTCCATCTTCTTGGTAATAGTTTGGTTTTTAGGAATCACCCATGAGCCTCCATGAATGACCTTGGAAAACTAGGCTTGTGGGAACCTCCATTAGATGAGAAAGTAAACCCTAAACTCTAGAGAGAGAAAAAAAATATATTCCTTTTCTTTTCTTTCAAAAGTCTCTCCTAAAATATACATGAACCCATGTATATATAGGCAACATAAAAATAAGAGAAAGAAATAATAAATCATTCTCCATCTCTAATTCACATATCTCAAATCTAATAGAATTCCAATATCAAGTTGGGCTATGAGTGAGAATCCCATTGGGCTTATTATTTTCTTGGCTACAATGAATTAATAATCGGCCCGATCCATGGACTCAATTCAATTAATTCATTAATTAATTTCTACTCCACTAAAAGAAATTAATTGAACTCTAATTAAATAATAAATAACCTCTAAGTCAATATTGCACTTTGACCCCTCTATGCATAATTAGTTATCGGATAAATAAAGCCATCAATCTGACTACTTAATTAATATATTTATTTTGGTACCATTGATTATTTCTGACTCGATCACAATAAAATATTTGTTTGAAAAAAAATAATAATTTAAATAAATAAATATATAATAAATCATTTTGTCTAAAAACACACGAAGACCTTCGAATTTACTTTGTGATCAACCATAATCAATACAAAATAAATACAAGTAGCAATGATACAAATATTGAAAATATAACCATCTAACTATTAATTACATAATTACCAAAAGTGTTGGTCTAAGGATTCCGAAGATTTCGTCGAACAAATCAAAATAATTACTAATTAATAAAAGAGTCTATACTTATCTCATGCTTAAGAGTCAAATGCCATGACGGTAATAGGGAGCAATTGTATACGACGGCTCTCGCAATATATCTCTACCTAACGCGAATCCAGTTCAAGTCTTAATTAATTATGAGTCCATACATAATTACCGACTATGAATAATTTATGATTATTATTTATATTCATGTATTGATCGTCATCACATACATATATAAATATATCTTATAATCAAGTGGACACTATCAATTTCATAATGAATCGAAACATAATATATTGAATTCACCAATTGTATAAAGTATTAATATTTCAGATATATCAGGAACATATGTTATTTCAATCCAAACAAGAATTTGTTATGTCAGGGCATTTAAATCCCAACATATCTATCAGTAGAAGGAATGCTAAAAAAAAATTTTAACCAAAAAAAAAAAAAAAAGCTAAAAAATTTACAAAATAAAAGTAAAATTAAAAAATATGATCATAGATCTCTTGCTCCGTACTTTGGACTCTAAGATTAACTTTAAGACCTATATCTATTATTTTTAATGCAAAATCACTCTTTTTTTATTTATCATTTTTTAATTCAATATTACAGATACCATCCACCCTAAAAATAAAGGTAATTATATATATATATATATATATATATATATATGTCTTGGGCTAGCCTGTGCTGCAACAAGGCTAGGCCAAGGTGTACTACGATGAGTACTACTACGTACATTGTTTTTCATTATCAGCTCTTTAACCTCGGTGTGTCACAAGTATATATATATATATATATATATATATATATATATATATATATATATATGTCTTGGGCTAGACTGTGCTGCAACAAGGCTAGGCCAAGGTGTACTATGATGAGTACTACTACGTACATTGTTTTTCATTATCAGCTCTTTAACCTCGGTGTGTCACAAGTTCTGCATGGCTGCATCAGACTGTCGAGATCATTTGTTCTTTGAGTGCTCTCTAGCAGGATCGATGTTTGGAATTGGAACCTCAATGTGAGACATTTGCCGAATTCATTCAATGCATGGGCCGAGCAGAGAGCTAGAGGTGTAATTTTTGAAGTAGTGGATGTGAGCCATGTGGCTGCTGTTCATTCTTATCATGACCTGTTGTGTTAGTCTGAGATGTAATTTTGCTTTTCTGTTTATGCTCTCATCTTCCATCTTGTACTGAATGCCTATTCTTTGGAATGATACAACTTCATTTACCAAAAAAAAAAAAAAAATGTATAATTTATTTTATTTGAAGGCATAACTTAATATAACTGGTAGACAATATTTGTGCTCTAGAATTCTTTTCACACTACGTTTTATGCTTGTTTATTTTTTTTAATTATAATTGTGGAGCCAGGGAGGGAATTTTTTTGGAGAATGAGAATAGACCTAGGTTGACTATTTTTTGAGAATGGTTAAGTAAACTAAAACAAAAAAAATTAAAATTAAAATTTTAGTTGACTGATAATGTTATAGAAAAGTTAAGGAAAAATAAAAAATAAAAAATAAAAAGAAGAAGAAAGAGAAGGAAGTGTCATATAATATTCTTTGTTTTTAATATTATTTCTATTTCTGAAATTTTGGTTGGATTTTTTTTTTTGCTGGATTACAACCACAATGGTTAGACATGAAAGTCAACTTTGTGTATTTGCAATGTAATTGACTCAAAAATGTCCAAACCAAGTCAACTTGCTAGTTTATTCAATTCATACTCGAGTCATGACCCGTTGAGCCGACTTGTCTGGGTTTAAAGATTATGGTCCCAGCAATCTACTAAAGGTGACCAAATCCATCAGATCAACTGAAAACTATTACCAAATGTAATATTGACTTTAACAAGTCGATGGTTTCAAGAAACAATTAACAACTACGTACTACCACACACATAACCTTCCCTAATGCATGTTTACTTTTCTATATATGAACACACAAACACAACCCTAAGCTAAAAGCCATCAATACAACCCAAACAATAACACATCTTTTTGAGTCTTTTTACACATTGGGCAATCAATTCATAACCACCAACCCTAATTTTGACACATACTATAATCACAATTTCTTTTATTTTGATGGTTTCAAGAAACAATTACTACTAACAACTACGTACTACCACATACATAAGTAACATAACCTTCCCTAATGCAGGTATACTTTTCTATATATGAACACACAAACACAACCCTAAGCTATAAGCCATTAATACAAACCAAACAATAACACACCTTTTTGACACACTGGGCAATCAATTCATAACCACCAACCCTAATTTTGACACATACTGGCCTAATCACATCTACACCTCTTTTAATCCCTTCTTTTAGCTTACCTTGGCAATGGAAGTAAGCCCTTTTCCCATATAAATAGAACTCTTCAACTCACCGAGTTTGCTTTTCTTCTGAGCCTCAACATCCTCATTGTCTTCTTGTTCTTCGTCTTCTTCGTACATTGTTAATGATTGATAGTCAACTGCTTTGCCAAAAGTCTTCATCAAAGCCAAGTAAATAGATATAGCGAAAATGGTTACTACTATTAAATACCAGCTAAACTGTAGATTTACTAGCGATTTGGCACGCTCGAGCGCTTCTTCATCGTGGCACCGGACCACTATGTGACCGTCTTCCAAGTTCAAGAAGCAACCTTTGGGGACTAATTCAGGTGTCCAAAGCATAAAGCCCATGACCATAAACCAAACACCTTGGAATAATATGCTAAGAGACCTAAGGAAGTTGACCGTGAAGCTCTTGGGGTAGCCAATGCCCATGAGGGTGGTGGTGAGAGAGACAGAGATCACAATTTGAAGAAGAAGGTGGTATTGACCTTCGACACCCATGTGGTCTGTGGAGTGGAAGTGGAAGACGAGGAGCTGTTGGCCAAAGGCGATGGCACCGAGGAACAGGGTGAGGCCATATTGAGCTTTGGGACCTATTCGGTCAAGGAGGATAGCGAAAGCCGCGTAAACAAAGAGAGACATCGATATGGAAGAGTGCTCAAAGTTGCGGAGATGGTAGGAGGGGATGGTTCCATCAGAATCCAAGGGTTGGTGTTTACTGGGGCCTATGAAGAGTTCCATGGCTATGGACATGAAGGAACCTCCCATGATCAAGAAGAGCTCTAGGTACCTGAGCTTTGAGGTTGGGAACCATGGCAAAGATGTGTAGGAATTTGGGTGAAGAGCATGGAGCTTGATGTGGTTTAGAAGGTGCCATAACCCAATGGCAAAGAAACCAAAGCCAGGTGCAACATGTCCCACCAAAGAGCCCATTTTGTTGTTGTTGTTACTAGTTATTTTGTATGTATATATATATGTGTGTGTGTATATATATATATATATATAGAGAGAGAGAGAGAGAGAGATGGGGTTAACAAGGAAGGGAGGAGAAGGGGTTTTAAGGAGTGTTGAAGTATGGAATTATTTAACGTCTTGAGACTTCTCTAAGGGCTTCAAAGTTTTGAGTATTGGACAATGCTTCGGTGCATGCCTTGAGGATGAAGTTTGTCCACCGAGTTGATGTGACCCAATGTAATTTAGACAATATCGTTAAAATTTAAAGAAACTATGGATGGACATTTCTCAAACGGAGAGTTTTGTTTTTTTTTCTTTTTATCCTTCTTTTTTGAATAAGTTTATCTTTCTTCTTTCTCCCCTCTCTCTTTCCACAGTAAAAAAAATCTGGAGTCCCAAACTCCATCCGAAACATTAGTCTTCCTAATTCAAACCTTAAATATGCCATTATGCACCCAAAATTGTCAATCCTGAATGGAGTTTGTGTGTGTGTAAATATTGTACACACTAATCTCAATATCTGACCAGGGAGTAGAAATAATCTCCTTAATTTGGAGAACCATTCGTCGTCCTTGTTTCTAGTTCTACCACTTAGACCCGTTTCTGGGTCTGTTGAATCCCTAACAATTTGTTAATTAAAAATAAAAAATATAAAAAGGCCATTAATTACTAAAAAGGAGTAGGTGAAGAAAGAAAAGGAGATTTCGGCGGGGGTATTTCCACGGATTAAGTTGTGGTCAGGTGTAGTCGTGGATTCCCTCGGTCTTACCCGATGCATTTGGCTTGTGGAGTGTCATTTGTGCCCTAAGATGAATTAATCTTACTTGTAAGATATGGGATGTCTCCTCATTAGGCAAAAAGAAAAAAGTTGAGTGGTAAGGAAGATGTAAGGGAAGATCATGTGGGTGCTTTCTGTAATCAGGTGCTTAAGGTTGATGGGAACTTGGGAAGCACTGTTTTCACAAAGGAAAAAAATATATATTGATTTTATTCATGAATTTTTTTTAATTTTAAACATGTGTGTAACTTGTACAACCTACTAAAAGGACAAGCTTCATTCTCCTACATGGTCCCAAGAATTGTCCTTGCATATTTGAGGCTGGTCAGTGGCTTGGGAAATAAGATTGGCAAAAAATTCACCAAAGACCCCTTAACCAATTAGTGGCTTGGGAAATAAGATTAGCAAAAAATTAATTTACCTTCAAAAAAAAAAAACAAAAAAAACTTGTATTCTACAATTAATTAATTAATTAAGAGGATCCTATATATCCCTGCAATCACCACACAACTTTGTATTGGTTGTCAAATAATCCACTCGCCCTGTACACCCATGAAAACTTCAAACTCACAAATGCTCCAAAACTATTTACTCGAGTGTACTAATTTTTTACCATTCAAATTTTTTTTTTTTACCTATGTTAAATTTGGAGCTAAACAAATCTTCACTATCAATTTCTTGTTCAAAAAGTTATGATGACATCATAATATGATAGTAACCTTTTATATTGAAATTATAATACTCGTTTCTATTGTCCGAAATACCGTAAAGATATGATAGAAAGAACAAGTGGAAATTTTTTTTCCCAAAGAGAAAAAAGCATTACAATGGAGGAGTAAAGTCATTAGTAGGAATGGTCTGAAGCCTATTATCAGAAAAAACATGTTCCCTTGACAACTTGGCAATGGCATGAGCAACCTCATTGCCCCTCCTATTCAAATGACTGATAAGAACCGAACTAAATCGCTGCAAGTGCCGACAAACATCAAAGATGATGGAGAAAAGAGCTGTAGAACCTTGCGAACATCCCACCATAGCCTAACAAACCAAAAAGGAGTTGCCTGTTGAGTTAAGTGTGTGCAGCGGAATGGTTGTAGAATATAATATGGATAGATAACCTAGAGGATGACAAATATATTTAACTTGCTCTATTATCCAATTTTTACTTATTTTAATTTTACCGAAATAAAATTAAAATTAAACCACAAAGCAAAAATAAAGTGCAAGTAAAGTAAATAGAGTTTGAGAGTTGACACCAGGATTTTATTGAGGAAATCCCAATTGGTAGAATAGACCAATTGTAAGAGGAAAAATCTTGTTGGACTGTGTAGTCCTGAGAAAAATGATCCACTATGTTTGAAGTAAAGTATACCGAACTTTGACTCAGTTTCACACTCTATCGTTCTACAAAAAACCAATCGCTTACAATCCCTGGCTTTGCGATTTCGCCGTCCAACAGCTCTCGACCTCAGGCTTACTCTTGACCTCTGTAGAAAAGTTGCAGGTAGGTCAGACAACACTCCATGAATGCTCTGACCCTTTCAAAGTGTGATCGCTTCACCTCTTTTCTTCTAGATCTGAATTTGATAAAGAATGAATGAATTCGGCTTTTCCGGAATTTCTGAATCTTCAATTATGCTTCAATTCCGATGAGATAGAGAATAACACTCCTAAATCACTCTTGTGTTTATGTGTGTGCTCTCAAAAATAAAATTAGAAAAATCAGATTGATTTTCTGAATAAAAATATCTCTCAAAAGGCTCTCTCAAAAATCTGAAATTTTGTATGCAAAAGCCGTCTATAAAAATATCTCTCTAAAGACTTTCTCAAAATATAGAATTGATGTTCCTTAAAGTCATGAATAAACCTATGTGTATAACAAAGTTTATATAGAGTTTAGAATGACCTAATCCCTCTGAAAATATGGAAAAATTTGTGCATAGGATTTGGTACAATTCTACACCAACTAGGAAAGAAATCTGAAACAGGAAACTAGAAGTTGTATTACTGTCAGGACTTCTTGAACCGGTTCAAGGGTGCTGAACAGGTTCAAGATTGGCAGTGGGATTTCGAAGCCAATCTTAAAGGCCTTGAACCGGTTCAAGTCTAGTAGAATTGAATTTTCATGCTGAACTTGGTAAAAACCTTATTTTGGAAATTTCTGAAACTATACCAATTATGGAATGTATCCTAACCTTTTTAGATTCCTTCCTAAAGTATTGTTCTTACCTTTCTTATTCATGGTAACTTTGAACAACCTTCCAATTCCGTAGTCGCTGTCTATCCGGATATGGTAACTTGAATTTACAACTCAACTAGGACTTATTTTGACACCGAAAGTTGCCAATTACAGAATATATATTTTTTACAATCTTTCCAAAATATATATCTCACATTGCCCTCAAGGCAACAACAATGGAAGCCCTCATCAAACACCTACGCTATAGCCTTTCGCAATCACAGAGCTTCAGCAGTGATGGCATCCGACCCCAACTAGGGAAACCCCCAACACCCCAACCAAAATGCAATGTTACCAATGCTTTGTGGCCATACTTCACTGTCATTGCCATTATCCTCATCACCATTGTCGCGTCCAGATTTTTTCTTGTTGGGGAAAAAGGCCCCACGCGTGTTGTCTCATCCTCCCTAGGTTTTTGGGAGGTTAATTGTTGTGCCATACATTTTTATGCGACGGGGGTGTAATTTGGAATGTGGATGCGATTGATTAATAGGGCCAAATTCAGAAATTTATGGAGTCACCACCTAGCATTGAGTTTTGGTGTGTTAGGTCACCAAGGATTAAAGAATTTGGATTGAATTTGGGGGCCATGGATGACTCATGGTCTGCTTCACCAAAGTTGGGATTTAAGGATTATTTATGCTCGGGGAAGGTGTTAGGCACCCCAAGACACCCGTACCAAGTACGGTTACCTATTCTATGTGTTAAGTTCTATTTCCATTCATATTATTGTGTAATGATCGATGATGAGGTACATGCTTTGCAGAATTTACCTTTTTATTTATGGTGATGAGGATGGAAGTGACATAGAGAGAGATGAGGATTACATGGTGGATGATGGTCCAGATAGAAGAATGGTGAGAATGATGGGGTACCTGACTGAACTCAGGGTTAACCTAAGCTGCCTACATATCCCATCTTGTGGGAATCAAGTCAGAACATAGTTCAAGAATGACGAGTCATGATTGACTCTAAGTGATCGAGTTTAAGGACCTCCGTCCCCTAATAATGAAATAGTGAACCTTGTGTGGTTCAAGTTGAGTTTTAGGGCATTCGCTCATGAGTATTGAAGAGGTGAAAATTATGTGGCTTGAGTTGAGGTTTAGGGCCTTCGCCCATCACGATTGAAGCTGAAAGGAGATATGGACATTATGACGTCCCACTACAAGAAAAACAGTTTTCTATCACGCTTTTTTTACCATGGTTTAAAAAATACCGTGGTAGAAGACCCTTTCTACCACGGTTTTAAAATAACCATGGTAAAAAACATACTTTCTACCACGGTTATTTTTAAACCGTGGTAGAAGACCTTTTTTTTTACCACGGTTAATGAAAAACCGTGGTTGAAAGTATATTCTTTTACTACGATTTTAAAATAATCGTGGTAGAAAGTATTTTCTTTTACCACGGTTATTTTATAATCGTGCTAGAAAGTGATTTATTTTTAATTTAATTTAGGTGGGTCTTTCTATCACAGTTTTAAAATAACTATAGTAGAAAATATATTTTTTTATCACGATTTTAAATTACCATGATTATTTTTATAACCGTTATAGAAAGTGAATTATTTTCTTTTACCACGGTTATTTTATAATCGTGCTAGAAAGTGATTTATTTTTAATTTAATTTAGGTGGGTCTTTCTATCACAGTTTTAAAATAACTATAGTAGAAAATATATTTTTTTATCACGATTTTAAATTACCATGATTATTTTTATAACCGTTATAGAAAGTGAATTATTTTCGCGGAATTTTTGGCGGGTCTTATTCCCGCTAGCATAAAAATAAAAAAATATATATGTAAAATATATATACTGCTCACATAACACTTATAGATCCAAACATATACTGAAGCAAACAAAGACAAAGATAGGAGGGTGAATGTGAGGTAGCTCCTTTGTGACAGTTCTGAGCTTCTTCTTCAGTTCTATATATCTCCAAAGCTGGCCACCCCCTTTCTCTCAGACCGTCCAAGCCGTCATTCTTCTTTCTCTCCAAGCCCAACCCTTCTACCGAAGCCACTGAGGGTTGAATCGATGGTCAGCGCAGCGTTAGAGCAGAGAAGATAGCGGCACAGCTGATTGGCGTCGAGATTGAACAAGGATTCGCCCCTTTCTCCAAGCCCTAACCCTAGCTCCCTCTCTCATTCGAAGCCCTAAATTCGAAGGACACGAATTAAGGTTTGTATTTTCATATCCTGTTATATTCGTCAAATTGATACTCAAATAGGTATGGTATGGGATTCGCCCCAAACTTCTAACAGAGACAATGGTTAATTTGGTGGGTTATATATACATATATATATCTTTTCTCTTATGCCTTTTTCTCTTGAACTTATTTTCTCTCTGACTGAACCTTTAAATTTTCTCTGTAGCTGTCCCGTATCTAAAAACCCAAGCTTGAATCCGCAGTTTAGTATATAAATCAGTTTTTCGTGTGAGTATACATACTTTCCTTGTGCATATCATTTATCATATATATATATATATATCCATAGCTATATATCTCTTATTGTTCATCTATCTTTGATAAGGATATCAAGTTTAATAAAGTATTGGATGATTAATGCGAGGGTATTAGGAAAATCTCATGGGTTTAATGTACTTCTTTTTGGCTGCATTATGTTATTTAATGCAAGAAGTTCTAAATGGTTCTTCACTCTGTTGTAAAAAGTCCTGCTTCAATTTTTAATGATAGGTGGGCTGGTCAAGCTTTGTTTGGGACTCTTATGCCTGACATAATTGTTCTCACTCTCTTGTACAGCATAGCTGGGGTATGTATTTTGGACATGCATCTTTGCATACATTTTATATGACATGAACCAGACTAATTTATATATATATATATATTTTCACATTTAAGCTGGGTATCGCCATCGTAAATGACTTTAAAAGTGTTGAAGGGGATAGAACACTCGAACTTTAGGTTTTCTCCATTAATTTTTTTGGGATACCATATGAATCTTTTACCATCTGTAAATTTCCCTGTAAATTGTTGTAACCTTTATATGATATTGCTGTTTAACCAGTCACTTCCAGTAGGCATTTGGCTCTGAGACTGCTAAATGGATTTGTGTTGGTGCTATTGACGTTACTCAACTCTCTGTGGCTGGAACGTGACTATTGTTTATATCTGATAACAGTGTCTCAACAACATCTAGTTGCCGCCATTATGTTAAACTGAAGACCTTCTACAAACAAAAAATATGGTAATTAATGATTCCTTTAATTAGATTGGAACGTCACTGGGGATTCATTTGGAGCTTGGAAAGAGCAAGGAAAATAATGTTTTTTTTGTAAATTATTTTTTTTCTCGATAGTTAAATTAAAATTTGCTCTATGATCCATCAGATGTTACATTTTCTTATCTTTTTGCTGGTTCTTTCCAAGTTCCAAAAGGAGCTTTTAGTGTTTTGATGGAAATCAACCTTTTGCACTGGTTGTCAGGATTTGTTGTGCTGCATTCTAGTGACCACTCATGCCCCTTCAGAAAGGATAGCAATGGCGATTGACCATCTTTTAAAGCTAGCTTAGACTTGTGTCATACTCACAAGCCCCATAAACTAGTTTATGCACTACCTGGTACATCAGGTATTGAGAAGTATAAGAGTGCAACCCTAGGTTCTGATGTAGAGTTAGTGCAAGGCCTGTTCACACTTTGATATATATATTTTAATATTAGTTTTGACCAATTTAAACCAATTAATTAATCATGCTTATTTAAATCATCATCTAACCAGAAAATCTGGACCACAAAACAATAAAGTAAAGTAAATTAAAGACAAAGATTCATGTGAAAAACCCCAATGGAAAAGCCACGGGACCTAGTTCAGGCAGATCAAATTGATTATGAGAAGAAAAAAAAATTTACAACTAGATTACCAGTTACCCAAACTCTAGAAAAACCCCAATCATCTTGTGTGATGCCAAAATTTTCATTCGAGTCTCGGGACTGTCTACCCCGACAACAGATCCGCTCATAATTTGGTCTCCAATGATTAGTTTAATCTTTTGATGCGCAGGTGTTATGGTTGATCAATCTTCAAGTATTGAATGAAGCTCCTTGCTTAGGACTGAATCGCACAATATAATAGGGTATCTATGAAGAACCTCATTGTGATTGAAAAATAAGGCCTCCCAGTCTCTTTCACAATTGTGTAGTTGTATCTCTTATGTTTTTCTTGTATTTAGACTTTTTTCTCACATTTCAGGCGAGTCAAAAGACTGATTAAGACAGACCTCCTAGGACACCTTTCTATAATGTTGTAGAGATTGAAAATTGATTAGGAATATTTGGAAAGTCTAGAATCCTTTTTAGCCTTGGAAACACACATTTTACGAACTTTGGCTGTCCTTTTGATCGATTGATCGACAAATCAATCGACATGTTCTGGATTTGCTTCGATCAATCAAGCTTTCGATCAAGCTATTTTGGTCTAAATTCGATTGATTGATCGAGCTATTCTGTTGAATCTAACTGCACATAACCTTCGAATGCTTTGTTGAGGGGTCACAAGGATTTGAAATTAGGCATATGATATATTGTTCCTGAAATTATATCTATTTAGTACTTGTATGCTGAATCATTTTAGGATAATAAATGTCTAAACACACAATGAGCTCTTTACTTCTGTTTCTACTTTGTACTAGTTAGATAAAAATTCATCAATCTTTTACATCAATGCGCAATGTTAATGTATATTGAAATTGAATCAGGATAAGATCTCATGAAGAGCATGAATGTTCTATTCGCTTTGAATTTATGGCTACGAAACATGATTGCATGAAGTATTCAATTTTAACTAATAAATCATGTTTTCTTGTTATAAGATGTTGTATACATCAAGTTACATTTTTTGGGTAGCTAATTATTTTTATTATTGCTCATAGAGGTGCTCATTGCAGTATTCTTTCATGGTTGCAGGTTACCTTCTAGGAGCTGGTAAACCATATTACGCCTTAGCTCTTCTTGGTTTAATCATTCCACAAGTCTTTTTCTAGGTAAAGAACATGTTGTTATTGCTTACGATTAGTGTGCCAAATAATTATATTGACAAAATACGTCGTCCGGGATAGTTATTTAAAAAACCCATTTCTATAATCTCAAATTTGATCTCAGTACTCAACAGTTCTGTAGGCTGGAAAACATTCCCTGTACACATTGTTTTTATTGAATAGAGAATTGAAGTCGTTCCTGTAGAAATGCTCTTAGTAGTAACTATTCTTTGTGTTGAGATATTTTCTATATGCCTATATATGTGAATGTGTTGACATGGACTTCAATGCCAGAGATGATAACCAAAAAGCCGTTTTTTCAATATATATCTACTGATTGTGTGATTAGCGTAGTTCATTTATAATGTTCCAGGTGATAGTGTTTCTTGTTCTACTCTGATTGGGCAGGTTGTAGCCTCTTGCATTTCTCTGAGTAGTGAATTCCAAACATGGTAAAAAAAAAAAATAAAAAAAAAATAAATTTGTAACTACCAGAAAATAAAAGTGAATTATCAAAGTGTATATCCCACCTATGTGGGGTGTTGGGTGGGGAAGATTACAAACCTAACCTTTGACATGATTTGACAAAGTGAACTGCTCTTGGACTGAAACCTGCTTTCTCACACTTGCATTATAAGACGAAAAAAATTTAATAATGGCCCATTCATAGGGGGCTTGGTACAATGACAAGGGAAAATCAGAAAAACTGTAAAAACGTGAGTTGTAAATCACCATTTACCTTTAAATTTCAGGTAATTGCAAAGATTGACAGAGCTAGTGAGTTCATTTAGTTTTGTAGAAGAGGAATTACAGTTTGAGTAGTCTTAATTTAAACAAGACCCTAGTTGCAAAAGTATTTTAAATTTCTGCCCGTCCAATGTTCTCTTGTTTTTGTCGTGGTTGATAATTTTTATAAGTAATACTAAGAAATTACAGATTTATCTTTTGTGCTTCTAATCACGATTCTTTGTTGTCACCTCCTTAGAAAATGATTTTTGCGAACATACTTATGTGGCCTGCTCATTCTAACAACCACTGAATCTACAATTGCAGTTCAAATACTTCCTCAAAGACCCAGTTAAATATGATGTCAAATATCAGGTATCTCTTCTTCCCCATGGCATGAACTATGAAGAATTTAGTTCTACTCTTTCTTCTATTTTTATTTTTTGTCACATTTCTACATTTCCTTCCAAGTTTAATTTTTTGAAATGATAGAGCAAATTATAGAAAATTTGATGAAACCCTTCAATGGCAATAATTTGATTTATCTCACATTGATCTTTTTGTTATTGGAGGAGGTTGTCCCAGCATAAGAGTTTTCAGGCTAAACAGTTCTGGTGTGTTTGAAAGGAACAAAGTATGCATACTTTTGGAACTGTTGTAGGCCTAGGATTTCAATTCAGTTTGTCCTAATTTTACACAATTCCATTCCAACATTTTATACTTCACAAATATTATTATTTCACACCTACTTTTATTTTTCTCAAATTACTTTTGTTGCACATTACTACTCAAATGATTTCTTTTGGTGACGGGATGTCAATGACCCAAGATATTGAGTTAATACGAAGAGTAGATTTTTCAATGTACCTTTATTATAATACTTGCTTTACTTGGTTTAATTTTTCCAACTTTACAACTTGCTTTATATTTTCTCACTTCAACTATTACATCTTTGTAGGTCAAAGCTAGGATTGCGGTTGCCGTTACTTTTTTTGTTACCGTTATATTTTTTGTATGGCTTATGAAGAAGTTGCCTATATGTAATAGAAGAGAGAGACTAAAGCAGAGCAAGAAGATATAAGAATTTTTGTTTTATTTTGGTTTGGCATAAGAAGCTAGAAATTTGTATATGGTTAATTTTTGTATAAAACAATGATTTGGAATTAGTTATATATATATATATATATGATGTTATTTGTTAGTTGTAAGTTATTTTGATTATGATGCTATTTTTAATTTATTTAGTGTCCTTGCAAGGCTAGTAGTAGGGGAAAAAAAGGCCTCGTGGGAGCTGCACTATTTTTTTTTTAAAAAAATTATATAACACTTTCTACCATGGTTTTGAACCGTGGTAGAAAGCCCTTTTTCAACCACGGTGTTGAACCGTGGTAGAAAATTGACTTTTTACCACGGTTTTGCACCATGGTATAAAATATATACATCAGATTATTTATTAATACTAAAGTTACCATAATATTAATTAATAAATTACTTTCCTTATATATATATATGTATATACATATATAACTATCTATGGGTAATTATCCATACCCATAAATCTTCCTATCCATGTAGTCCATGGGACCTAATTGGTTGGCCCATTACTACTAACCATAACCATAAAATAAAATAAAATATTTAATTTACAATGAATTACAATTAATCAAACACATCATTTAAGCACACAATCTAATAAACAACTAATACAAATAACACCTAGACAAATAGTTAATTAATCAAGTAACAATTAATTCAATTAAACATATAAACAATTAGTCAAATAATCAATTAAACAATTAAAAATACAATTAAAACAAATAAATAAATACTGAGACTATCCTTTTTGAAATTAAGGGTATTACATTCTTCCCCCCTAACAAAAGGAATTCCGTCCTCGGAATTTGCCCTTACTTTCTTCTATTATTTCTGGAAACGGTGAGCGAATTATATCCTCCTGTTCTCAAGTAGACGCAACCTCACTATGATGGCTCCACTTAACTCCAATGTATCAAGTAGTATACTTGGTTCCTATATTTAAGAAACACAATAACCGTACGATTCATAAGTTATATCGAATAACAACGTAATCCACCTAATTTAACAAGGTAATGATTTATATTCCTCTAAGTTCCATAGAATATACGCACAAAACTCCTATGCACCCAGTGTTATTGATTTGGTAACGCTCATCCAGAGGCGACTGCCTCAATTTATAAACACAATCCTCTAAAAGTCAATGTAATAAGTAAAATTGACCTTTCTCAAAAAAAAAAAAAAAAAATTAAAGAAAAAATCACCTTGCTTCTTATATTGAAGACATAACGAGCAAACTACTCCCTAATAGAAAACTCTAGTAAACGAGTTCGACTATTTACAACATCCCATTACCGCTTCCAAACCACGCGCAGTCTATTACAAAGGAGAGTATTTCTCTCCGACATATTTTTAAATGAAGTCAAGGTCTGATTATACAACCATTGCTTCCATTTCAAACCAACAAATGAGAGGTATCACGAGGTAACATACAAAACCTCAAACGTTATCACTCCAACCTCCTTGTGCCAACAATACCACAGACAAAAACTGAAAAGCGAAGTAAATCCTTCCATTTGTCCATGAAAACCTAGGATATACGCGTCAAGTATATCTTTTGTGGTCTAATTTAATCTTTCTATCAATTTTTCCGTCTAGAGATATGAAGCAAAGTTGCTGCTCTAAAATCTTTATAAAGCTCCTTTGAAATAGCACTTTGCATCCATTATAATGGATATCCACATGTTATAACACCACTATCACTGTACTATAGAACTACTATAAAGCTCTAAAACGAATATCACTCCAATTATTGTTCTTAAGCGAACTTTCTCAATCCACCGCTCTTATTCCATATGGAAAATTGAAATTCCAAATCAATGTCAATAATTCCCACCGACTGCCCACTCTTGTTTAGTCCTACTTCCGTATTCGTTATAGGAAGTGGCAAAAGATTCCAGTGATATCCGATGACAAACTTTCCACCTTTCTAGCAGGTGTTACACTTAGGTCAATTATATACATGTCCCTATCCGTACCTGTCCACCAAAACCGAAATTTGATGTCGTGATGCACCTTCTAACGAGTGCACCGAGAAAACTATAAGTTTTTAATCTCAGTCGCCCAACTGTCATATCATTATTTACAGAAACTACTAAATCCTCCTCTAGTACCTTAAACTTCATCTGAGTAAGGTAACACCTTCTCTAAGGTCAGCTTCGATATTCAAAGTTAACTGTCTCAACTACCTTAGTAATAGCAAGTGTTTTTATTACACAAGTTATAAATTCATCTGATAACTCATCAACTAACCGAAAGATTTAAATATTCTGTCGTTTGTTGAGAGCATCCATTTCCACCTTTAATTCCAACAGACGGAACTTGATGCAAAGTGTGAATCACCACTGTAATCCATCTAAACTGTCTCGTGATCTGTTTTATTTATATGAACTGAAGTTCTACCAGTTCGAAATAGACAAGAATTAAGCTGACCTAATTTAATTAGTCAACCAATATCCCATCCAGAATCCTAACCCTTGTGTAAAATCAACAATCCCTCAATTAAATACGTAAAATACTCTTTTATTTCCACTTCAGTATAGGAAATGGCTGCAAGGATCTGGTGATCTCTGATGGTCTATCTTTATTATCTAATAAATCTTAGACTTGGAGAAAAAATCACTATGTCCCTCCTCCTACTTGTCTTCCAAACATCTGCTTCATAACGTGATACATCGTATTTCCACCTGGATGACTAGAGAACTAAGAGTTGTGAATTTCAGTCCTTGCATCCTCCATCCAATTTGTCTGCAGAAAGTACCATTAGTCCGGTACTACCAGCTTTCGTCTGTACCTATTGTTTAAATTGGAGCATCTTCAAAAGCGAACTCTGCAATTGAATCCATGCATCATTAATCTGTGATAGACTTACCAATAAAGAAAGTTAACACAACAAAATTCAACTAACTACGACCTTTCCATACATACCATACACCTCTTCTTTATATAGGTGTTTGGTCTCACCATCTTATCTTTGACACTCCCTGCTTCTTTAAGACAAGTTGTGTCAATCTGACATCTTTGTCTAATTTCAAAAGAATATGGATCTCTCCATTCTCCAAATAAGTCATCAATTTCCTAGCAACAACCATTTGTTGCAAATTGTGACCTAAAAAAAAAAAAAATTCTATATTATTTATGCAAGTGAAAAGACTTAATTTTCTTTTCTAAGTGTAACACCGATAACTCCTCCTAATGACACACCATCGTGAATAGAGTATTGTTTAAGAATAGACTGATGAAGATTTATCCAGTCTACTGTTCTCACTTGGCATCATTTTACTAGGTACCTAAATTAGTACAAAATCCTCTTTTCGACTTGGTAACAACTTTTGGAATTTCCAAGAAGATGTTTAGAAAGTCCAACACATCTGATAAATCATCGTGGTGTTACAGTGATCTTTATTTACCACCACCTCACGAATACAGAAACATTATCAACCACCATTATCATGGCATTGTAAAACCATATGTATCCAGACCTAGCATAAAATATTTCAAACTAATTGTACTGGATTATTTGACTCAAAGTGATGGTTTAACTATCCCATCCAAAATAACATACCATAATGACGTATGTCCAGATCCAATAGATTGACTAGAATTATGTATATCTACCAACTCCTATGACCACACGCTCATAATCCTAGTGTAAAATAGTGCTATTACTCCATGGTGTAAAAACAATAGTTGGCTGATCAGATGCTTGTGTCCCTAACTAAACCACATACCATAATCTAGAATCGTCAACGAAAATAAACACGTAAGACAAATACAGTACCACAAAATATACTCCTACTCAAGACATCGTTCTTTCTAGGAAAAATCTCCTCTAAAACCAACTTACAAAATTGTTTCACATAATTTCTTTTTATAGTTTTGTAGATAATCATCCAACCTCGAAATATATTCTTTAAAACATAGCTTAAATGTAACGACCCGGTCATTTGCCTTCCTTTCCTTTTTCTTGAAATTTTACGAATGAATTTTTTTCGTTTAATTTTCTTTTCTGAGCTCTGTTTTGTGTCGCTTAGTGTCATCTTGAGTGCTCAGAATTGGTTCCTGAGACTCCTTTTCGTGGATTGACAACTTCCTTTGAGGACCGAGTCATTTTCACATTTTTCGTTTTTCGACACTATGCGCTATTTCGTCCTTTTCCCTATTCTGTCTTATCTCCGTTTGTCAGTTGTTGGCACAACCTCACTTCTCATGCTCGGAGTTGGTTTTTGACTTCACGTGGCTTCATCTTAAGTGGTTTCCTTGAAATACGTATCTTTACTATTGCAAGAAAGTACTCTAGTTGCTCCCGGTGCCCACAGAGGCATGGATGCACAATTCTTTAGAATCTTTTTCATTTCTTAGGGCATTTTTTGTTTATTTCAGGGGTATCTAAGAAAATATCTTTTGGAAGATATTTTCATTCTGGGGCAATTTCGCAGTTAACCCTTTTTGTAGGGGTGTGCAATTAACGAAAGTTATTGCAAAAATGTCTCGTCTGGAGCCTGGATCCTCGTACGGGATTCATTTTCACTTTTCGTTGACTCGTAAATTTATAGAATTTCCTTCTGGTCATTTTTCTCCAGTTTCAGAGTTTCTGGACTCGGTTGCCGCCGAACTTGTTCGGGGCATAACTTTCTGCTCGGGACTCAGTTTTCAATGTCGTTTCTTCTGTTGTTCATATTTTCTCATTTTGAATATTTTTTATTCACGGAGTTTTGCCGTTTGAGCGCGTTTGCTCAAAATCCACTTTTCCAGACTCGGCGGGGTCCTTTCGGGGCAGTTTTTGAGACTTACTATAAATAGGATGCCTTAAAGTGAAAAATCAGATTTAGGCCATCTTCCCCACCTCTCTTGGCCGGATCTCCTAGCAGCCATGGCTGCCACTTTCTCTCTCCTCCTTTGGTCCACTTTTCCTTGGTAGAAATCCTTCGGCCTTAGCATTTATTGCTTCCCTCGACGTGCTCTACCTTTTGCCCTTATTAGAATCCATTTCCGACGATTTTTTGAGTTTGGGTTTGGAGTCAAGTTGAGTTTTTCATGGGGCTTCTTGTGGATTCTTATTCACGGTGTTGTCCCCGACAAAACCTCTGGGTATCATCGAATTCGGAG